AGGGAGTTTGAATGTACCAACACCTCTGAGGGGAAAAGATGGGCAATCTCTTCCAATCTGAAAACCTACTGGAGAACAACAGGGTCAGTTATGAGTTGAGTCAGTTCTGACTTAGCTACAATGAATTGGGATTTTTTTTGCTTATTTGGGTTTTTTGAGGACTGGTGTTCTGTGTCTTCAAGTTGGAACCAATCCATAGCTGAGCCTCCAGCAGGCTTTCAGCATCAGTTAATGGCATGGAAGTGTCTGCACATCTTCATCTCACAAAACAACTGATGCATTGGAACCTTTGGGATTGCAGTGCAGTTTCTTTTTTTTCCCCCTTTATACTGTTTTACATACAAAGTTCCTAGAACTCATATATAGCACAATTTCTTATCACTAGGCCACCAGAACTACTTTTAGGGATTTTTGTTGTTGTTGTTGTTGTTTTTGTTGTTGTTGTGTGCTGTCAGGTTGGAATCAACTCATGGCTGACCCTCTAGTGGGTATTCAGAGGCAGTTAATCACACAGATTGCCCATCTTTCTCACGTGAAGCAGCGAGTGGATTCGAACTGTGTGCCTTTGTGATTGCAGTGCAGCTTCTTACCACTAAGCCGCCTGAGGCAAAAGTTTCCCAGAATGCTCAATAAATGCTAGTTGAGTCTATAGTTTTAAACCTCTCCCTTTTTACCATTCATGCTTTCTTTAGGATACCTAGCCACAGGGCCTTATTTCCAAAATTGCCTTAAATTGTCCCAAAGCTTCATCTCTGTGGTACATTGAGGTATTTTGCCCAACTCTTTTTTGTCAATATTCTATGGCTATAAATCATAACTAATAAGGAACCATTAATACAGAGCACATTTCCACTGATTCATCTGTTAGAGTAGGAAGTTATGCATATTCATGAATAACCAGAGAATTGACATGAATGAACCTGCTGAGAGTAGTTTATGAGATGATTGGCTTTTTCCTCTCCCTTGATCCACACATTGATTCAGTTACAAACTGTGTTGATTCTCTTCAATGTCCTGCACATCTGTCCCTGCTCTCTGAGCCCATTGCCACCCCTTGAGATCAATCTCAATTATCTACGGCCTGGCCTGTTATTTCAACAGTCTACCTGGTCTTTTCTCACCACAAATACATCTTCTCATTGCTTCTAAATCAATTTGCCAAATCCCAGTGCTGAGAATGCCTTTTTCCAGAAGGAAAGCAAAATTCCAAAATACATTGGTAAAGGGCACAAGGTGGTTATATTAAAGCAATTCATTTCCTTAAGAGTCCAGTTGCTAAGGGATTTGAAATGCAGGAATGGTACAGTAAAATGAGAATCATTTGGGAGGTTCTTAATAGTGGTAAAATTTAAATACTCCAAAACCTTTTATAACCTGGATTCACTTTAACTTCACTATGTGATTTTCTGTAATTAACTTCAGTTTGATCAAGGGTTTTCCTGCCCTGCCCCACTTACATGTGGTGTTAATTTCAGTTAATTAAAATGACTTAGGGAGCTCTGATGGCCTAGTGGCAAGAGCTGTACTGCAATCATAGATGTGCATGGTTCAAATCTACCTGCTGGAGAAGGAGGGACAATCTCCTCCTGTACCTGTCAGATCCCATTTGATGGTACACACACAAAAGATAATAACATTTTTTTTAAAGTTTCAAAAAATACTTAAGTGGTTTGTGCTGGACTACTACCTTCATAGTCAATGGTTTGAGCACATCGTGGTATTGTGAGAGAAAAGTTCTGGTATTCTGCTTCTCAAAGACTACAGTTGAGAGGACCTTTCATAGTAGCTCTACTCTGTACCAGGCAGAGGTTCACACAGAACTGACTTGGTGGGACTAACAATAATGACTATCAACACTTTCAAGTAAACTATACCTACAAAGATTAGTTGTGTATTTCATTCATGTCTGTATTCTCAGCATCTAGTTCAAAGCCTTGTATATGCTTCATGTTTGCAAAATGAATGAACCAGATAACCAGTACATCTGAAAGTAAAGAAAAATGCTAAAAAAGTGCCAAACTGATTCTTAGAAAGTCTCTAGGGAGAAGTGGTTTTGAGTTAGATCCTCATGGACTTGTAGAAGTTTGCCAAATGTAGACAGGAAGGGAATTCTAGGTAAAGGAAATGAAGTCTGTTCAAAGGTTCATCTCTATTTCCTAGTACCTAAGAAAGCATCTACTGATCTAAGGGCTGTACTATTTCAATGATGTATGCTACAGGGCAGAAACACAGATGTCATGAATTGCCTGATTTTATTCCAAAGAGAAAAATAAGTTTCTCCTGTTTCTTGGAAAAGGGTTTACCTATACTTTCTGCAGTCCAAGAAAATGTAAGTCACAGCTTAAGCTGTCTACAGTTGTGGATTTTCAAGACATCTCTATTAAAAAGAAAGCACACACAATCTGTTTATGCAAACAAATCAAACTCAAATATGGAGAACAATAAAAGCCAGCTTCACCTACTGCTGTTCCACTTGACATGTTCATCAACTTAACAGGAAAACTTCAGCCAGGTTCCCAATGGACTAAACCTGGGATTGGATAAATGAACCTCACACATAACAAGGCCCCTAGGTACCTGCTGTCTATATCCTTTCAAGGCTCAGGGTGCCTCAGGATATCTTCAGGGAATGATACCCAAGAGTCTTCCCCTTCTTCTGCTCCTTGGAGAATGTCTTCACTGACTTCAAAAACTTCACCTAGGTGGATGGGTTCTCAATGATGCTTGTGTTACCCAAACCTGACCACATTCCCAGTAGTGTGATGTGTCTGCAGCTTGTCCACTCAGTCTCAACTCCTGCAGTAGATCTTCTGGGAACTTTCCTCTTTTCTGCTTGGGCATTTTGTGGTAAAGGGGACACAACATTTTTTTCTTCATTCCTGGCTCCCCTTCAATCCTGCTTTCCTGTTGTGCCTCAGCTTTAGGCCGAGACATGTAAGTGATCCTTTGAAAAGGAAATAAAATGGGTTTATTATTATAAGCTAATTTTATTTCTAATAAAACATCTCTTTTCACAATGAGATGAAAAATCTTATGAGGATATGTTTTCTCTTCTTTCTCTTGATTTCCTCTGAAGACTCCCAAGAACAGAAGATGCTTACCAGCTTGTAGCATCCATACTTCTTTCCTAAGACAGATTTCATACAGATAAGATACCAGTCCAATGTCTCTCTATAAATATCATATTGGTATTTGAAACAGAGCAATTCTTTCTTGGGTGGGAGTTGTCCATGTGTTTCAGGACATTAAGTGCCATTAATTTCAATAACATTTGTCTGTGTAATAATAAAAATCACAGACATTTCCCATTTTGTCCTAAAAGTATTATACTACCTCAAAGATGGACCCCTGCCTAGTTAATATCCAAATGCCTCATTGGAGAGAAATATCTTTTGTTAGGTATTTCAGTCGTAATTTTTTTTTTCCTGTTGGGAAATATTTTCCATTGCAGCTTCAGTTTCTTAAGATTCATAGTGTAAATTATTTTTAGATGGTCACTAACATACCTAAGAGAGCATTGGTACTTAGTGGTAATGAGTTGTGCTACCAACCTGGCTGGTATGCGGTTCAAATCCACCAGCTGTTCTATGGGAGAAAGATGGATGATCTTCTCTCATGTGATTTACTGCCTCTCAAAACCCACTGAAGGATCACCTATGAGTCAGTTCTGATTCAATGATCCACAACAACAATTAAACAATGTCCTTAAAATAAATTTTTATAAACTTGAAGGAGGTTTATATTCCTTCTAGGAAGCTCTAGTGCCACAGACTATAGGGGGGCCTCACCTCTCTGGTGGTTCAAACCCACCATCATCACCGTGGGACAAAGGTGGGCAATCTCTTCCCTGTGTGTGATTTACAGACTCCTGAAAACCGGCTGGATGACAATCTATGAGTTGGTTCCAACTCAATGGCAATGAATATATATACCTTGTAACCTTCATCAAAGATATTATTTACTTGATTCAAAAGCCTTTTTTTTTCCTGAATATGCATAAGCCAATCAGAATTTCAAAGCACTTAAGTCTACTTTATAAAAGGAAAAAATCTGAAATATGACAAAAATTGAAACCATCTCCACCCTTTGACACAATGATGTATCTTAGCATAGCTCTGGCTTTTATGTTCAAGTTCTGATTTTGCTTTAGATGAAGGGCACTTGAATTTGTGGCATCTTTCCTGAATCAATTGTTTGCCCCTGCAGAGTAGGTGTGTGCCTACCCACAAATTTGTATGGGCTGTAATTTAACGTGTGGTTTGGGGAAGATAAAGACTTTTATACTATATAGCAGAGTTTATAACATGCATGAATCAGTGCTATACACTGTCAGCAGACTTCCATCATTCAGACAGCAGTGAGGACAGAATGGACGGTGCGTAAGATTTGCCTTTTCCTCCTTACAATCAAGATGAGCCTTTCTGCCTCTGCTCTATTTCTACCTTGTAAAAGATGTACAAGGGTTGATTCATAGTCTCAGTTGAAGAGATGCCACCATTCCATCCCTAAAGCAAACTGTTTTCAACAATTCATGCATAATTCCAAGTTAGTGAAATATGCAAAAATGTCAAATATAAATTCTCTGAGTTATTGTGTGAGGGAGGTATAGCACTAATTGGGATAGAAAATAAATATGAGACATTTGAATACAATAAGCTCTCATGGAAGACTGAAAACTTGAATTTGTCTTTGAAGAATGGAAAGATTTAAGTAAGAGGAATAAAAAATATCATACTGGATGGGAAGAAGAGTAAGTATAAAGTGGAGATGTGCGTCATTATACTTTAAAAAAAGGCTTGCACAACACTGAGGAGGATTGGAAATTGTAGTAGATAGCCACAGGAAAAAAAATTTTAAGTAAACCAATTGATTGAATGTAATCCACTAGGGAAATGTTTCCCTAGGTTTAAATCTGGGAACTAAATTCAATCTCCTAAGTGTGCTTAAACTCCATTACCGGAGTCATGTAACTATTTCATTTTTCTACCTTAGAGACTTGGTGGCCATTCAATGAAGAGAGAGAACTACACTCTCATTCTTGAGTTTGTTTTTCAAGGTTTCTCCAGCTTCCATGAACACCAGCTCACCCTTTTTGTGGTGTTTCTTGCACTGTACATCTTAACTCTGGCAGGCAATGTCATCATTGTGACCATTATCCGGGTTGATCGTCATCTTCACACCCCCATGTATTTCTTCCTGAGCATGCTGTCTACTTCAGAGACTATATATACGCTGGTCATCATCCCAAAGATGCTCTCCAACCTCGTGGGTCTGAGCCAGTCCATTTCACTGGCAGGCTGTGCCACACAGATGTTCTTTTTTGTAACCTTTGGCATTACTAACTGCTTCTTGCTCACAGCAATGGGATATGACCGTTATGTGGCCATCTGCAACCCCCTGAGGTACACTGTTATCATGAACAAGAGGGTGTGTGCCCAGCTGGTAGGGGGAGCGTGCAGCATTGGGCTGATTGTAGCCATGACACAGGTGTCATCTGTATTCAAGCTACCTTTCTGTGCCACAAAGGTTCCCCACTTCTTCTGTGACATCCGACCTGTGATGAAGCTTTCCTGTATCAATACGGCCATCAATGAGATCTTGACTGTTATCATCAGTGTTCTGGTGCTTGTCACACCCATGGGGCTGGTTTTCATCTCTTATGTCCTCATTATCACTACAATCCTAAAGATTGCTTCAGCTGAGGGCCGTAAGAAGGCCTTTGCCACCTGTGCTTCCCACCTCACTGTGGTCATTGTCCACTATGGCTGCGCCTCCATTGCCTACCTCAAGCCCAAGTCAGAAAACACCAGGGATCAGGATCAGTTGATCTCAGTAACATACACTGTCATCACGCCTTTACTGAACCCTGTGGTGTACACTCTGAGGAACAAAGAGGTCAAGGATGCTCTGTTTAGGGCTATGGGCAAGAAAATTTCCTGACAATTTGACAAGTGTTGTCTTGATGTTCTTAGCATCCACACTCCACAGGAACATGGATTGGGGGCACATATCACTGGGAACATATTTAAAGACCTGTGCTTTAAGTAGTAAAAAGAACAGCAGCAAGATCATCAACGAGGTGTCTGAAAACTTTAAATAAAAGCCCTTGGTGAAGTTCTGGCTCTGAGTTTGTGGGCAAGTGAAGAAATCAGGTAGCAGCATGTACCAAAGATTTTTTTTTCCCGTTTGCCTTTTAATGTCCTTGTGTGTCTCCACCTTAGGAAAGCAATAGTAACTCCCTCTGAGAAAACAGATTCTGGTGTCTTCTTTAAAATATTCCTTCTGATTTTTTTCCTTCCTAATTAAGGTAACAATGATTCCTCTAAGTTGGGTCCATATTAGAACTTCTTTATAGATGCTACATCTGGTATTAAGTTGTTATGCAAAAAAGAAAGGGTATTCTCAGGTTGTATAACCTAGATTTCTTTTGAAACAAGTATCTTTAATTCATGCTAAATTGTAGCAGAACTGTTGGATGATAGAATTGACCAAGGATAATTTAATTAGAGAGAGATATAATGCTAGCTCTTGCCAGCTGTTGTGGCAGCTCCTTGAGTTCACATTCCTAGATTTTACTTTGTAAGTTCATATGTTATTAGTTCAGAAAGTATATAATGGGCAGATCATGTATTTGACTTTGGGGAAACAAATATAACACGTTCTGATTATCTAGCTCCATTCTAGAGCTAAGGAAAACCTTTAAAAGTGTAAGTGTAATACTTCATGATAACATGATATTTTCAAAAGATTCCAAGAGAACTAAAGAGAGAAAGATAGAAAAGTGAGAGACAAGCAGAATGTTTAAAAATATGAGAGAAGCCTCCATACAAGAGATATTCTGGCCTACTTTTAAAACAATTAGTTGGAGTGAGAAATTATAAAAATTAGGATCATAGTTTCAAAGGAATGAAAGCCAGAGGAATATTCTTTAAATGCAAAGTGATTCAGTGTGGGGAGTCTAGTGTATAAGGAAGCAGGGTCTAGGATAGAGGTAAATAAAGCCTGAGTAGTAGGTGAAGGGTCAGGTCAGAAAGGCTTTATGTGTTAAACAAAAGAATTTTGACTTTAACTATTAATTGAAACAGTGTATGTAAATTCTTGCCATCCTTATTATGCTTAATTAGCTCTATTGACAACTCAAAGAAGTTGTATAGATCTATACAGCATAGACCCTTTAAATCACTGGGAGAAGGAACTATGACTAGAGTATACTTGGAAATACTTTTGCTCTTATAAAGAAGGTGAATCAGAGAGACAGTCAGACAGAAAGAACATGGAGCAGAGGTAGGCCAAGAAGTGTTATGCAGGTTTGAAGTTTCTAAGTTCAGATAAGCATCTAGATTCAGAGCTTGATAACCAAAGACTTGCGAGCAAGTCAGGGCTGTTGGTCCTGGGACACAGTGGGACTGTAACCAAGAATTGCACTTATTAATCAGAGAAGCTTCAAATGATGATACAGATACCTAAAGGAAATAAATCTATAGATGGTAAGATAGAGATAGAGAGAAAGAGATATAGATTAGATATAGATAGATATAGATGATATAGATATAGAACTAGAGCTAGAGCGATAGAGATATAGAGATACACACACACACACACACACACACACACACACATACACACATACATTTAACTTCTGGATCATATCGTACCTATAAAGCCTTTATCAGAACAAAGGCAGGAAAAAATATCAATCCATAATTAAAGTTCTCTAAGGACATGTTCCCCTGCAGCACTGGTGGCTTAGTGGCAAGGAGTCACACTGTTGACCCAAAGGCACATGGTTCAAATTCACCAGCTATTCTGTGGAAGAAAGATGGGCAATTTCCTCCTGTGTAATTTACTGCCTCTGAAAATCTGCAGGAGGTGGAGGGTCAGCTTGATGGTACATAACTCCAAGAACATGGTAATTTAGATAAAAAGAAATAGGACAATCAGCAAAGAAAAATTGGATAATAAAAGGAAGCCTTGCTTGCCTAGTAGTAAGTACCTACAATTCCAACCCAAAATCACATTATTTGATGATTGGGAGGGAAATTATAGCCTTTAGTATGACAAGAGGGAGTTTGGTGGATAAGGAATTGAGGTGCCACCACAAAGGCCGGTGGTTTAAATCCACTAGCTGTTCCTTGGGAGCAAGGTGGACAATCTCCTCCCTTGCAATTTACATCTTCTGAAAACCCGCTGAAGAAAAACAAGCTATGGGTGAGTTCCACCACCATTAATAATAGGTAAAGAATTTGATGGAGTGATTCGTTCAATATTCAAGGATTTTTCAATATATGCCAGCTACTGTGCTGGATACTGGAAATGCCAAAATAAACTCTTTACTATCTCTTGAAAGAAAGCATTTCCAGACATGCATAAGAGAAAAGAATATGTAGAATGAGAGAGAAAGGAACAAGGCATGTTTAATGTTTAATAACAAAAAAGTAAAATTTTGGGATTTATTTTCCTAATTCCTATAAAGCTAAGCATGATGTCCTTCCCCAAGGATGAGGAAGACACTGGATGACATGGATTTGACTTATTGTCTGTGAGAATAGGAGCAGGTGTGTGTCGGAGACATGAGACTGGCTCCGAATAGGGCAGGGTTCAGAGCTAATGTTCATACATTGCTGTAAGTCATAGACAATTAGATGTGCATAACAACATAAAGCTAAATCTAATCAAGCCAGGTAAGAACTTTGAAATAACAGTGAAATAAAGGTGTGTTGTCTGTACAACTGTGCTGTCCTGAGGCAAGTCTGGGCCACCTCTGGGATACAAGAGCTTTTCTGAGGGACTTGACTCAGACCATCACAACACTGGACTTGTAGTACATTTATCACCAAGTTTTATCAGAAAGCTTGTTTGAATGAACAGTTTCACAACCAACCATTAAACAATCAGATACTTTCAACAGCCCTTCTCACCCCATCAGGGAACTTGTCATGGAACTTTTTCACACCTTCTGGGCAGTCTCACTCTCTCATAGACTACTTGGCAAGACAAAAATGATCTGAAAGGATTTTTTCCCTTCCCTCAGAATTATTTTGGTCACCATTTGCAGGTATTATTTTGTAGTTATAAAAGAAAAAAACAAAACAATCTTTTCCCATATATGGGGCTCCTTTCCAAAAATACTTTCCCAATCATTACTTCACTAGGTGCTCAGAAAGATGCTAGGAAGGATACAGGAATAATGTTCTCCATTGTAAAGATAATAATGCAAAGATAGCATAAAGGGTGGAGGTAGGCCTTGAGCTTACACTGATTTGGCAAGCATTTTTTTGTTTATACAAAATATATTACAATCTAATGGCACTTGAGAAATCAAGCTAAATAAAAGCTTAAATTTAAATTTTCCAAGCCTTAATACTTCCAGTGGGATCTGGTAGCCCAATGGGTGATGAGTTGTGCTGAAACCCAAAGACAGGTGGTTCAAATCCACCAATGGTTCCACTGGAGAAAGACAGGCTATCTCCTCCTATGTGATTTATTGTTGCTGTTGTTGTTATGTGCCGCCGAGTCATTTGTGACTCATAGCGACCCTATGTACAACAGCCCTAAACCCTGCTCTATCCTGTGCCAATCGCATTGCCTCTGACACACCCATCGCGATTATCCCAGTCACTGATTAAAAATCTGAGTTTGTTCGGACTTGATGGCAATTAGTTATTTGTTGTTATAATATCTCCAGACTAAAATGAAATCTCATTCCCAAGACTTTTCCAAGAGAAAGGTGTTGTGTGAACGAATCACCTTGGATCTTTACTATAGACCATGGAGACCCCAAAGGAAGCACCTCTAATAATAGTTCAAATTGTGAAGTTTTATTTATTCAGGAACCAGTAGATGTTTTAAGAATCTGCTGTTGCTGATCTCAGAGAAGACGCTTAGTGCTCCATGAACTAATCTGTGAAAGATTTAGTCTGACTTTAGAGTTTGGTAAATACTGTGTAATATCAGATCTAGAGCTAGAGCCTGGACTAGTGTCTAGACAGGGAGATAGATACACCATATTTATAAATTATAATATTTGGTAAACTGATGAGTGCTAAACTAGAGGTTCACATGAGTCATGAAAGTCTAGTTGGAAGAAACATTTAGCTCTAATTTTATTCTAAGTAATAATAAAAGAAAACAAATTCATTTCCTCTTTCTTGGCTCTGGAATCAATATGTTTGGTACCAGTCATTAAGAAATTAAAAGATATGCTGCATTGGGAAAATCTGCTATCAAGGAGCTCTGCAAAGTGCTGAAGAACAATGATGTCAGTTTAAAGACTAAGCAATGACTAAGGATGACAAAAGAATTGATGCCTTATAATTGTGATGTTGGAGAGAGTACTGACTATCTCGTGGGCTGCCAAAAGAACAAATGGTTAGTCTTAGATGAAGTGCAACCAGGGTGCTCCTTGGAGGCAAGAATGGTGACATTTTGTCTCTCATAATTTGGGCATATTGTTAGGAACCCTTGAAAAAGTCGGTGTACAAGAGGAAGACCCTCAATAATATGGATTGATACAGTAACTGTAAAAATGGGCTCAAGTATATCAGAGATCGTGAGGATGGCATAGTATAGGATCATTATGAGTGCAAGACAACTTGACATAACAACCACATAACAACCACAACAACACAGCTTTGGAAAAGCAATGGAGGAAAACTGTAAGAATCCATTCAACAGCAATGGGTTTCGTGTTTTGGTTTTTAACTGTGATTCAACTCTTGTTTAAAAGGAAACCTTTGCAACTTGAGTAATAAACTCTCTTATTTTTATAGGACCCAGATGAAAATTTAGAGAACATGGATGTCTGCATCAGAATCTCCCTCACTGACTGACCAGCAGAACTGAGGTTAGGGTGTTTCAGATCACTTTGTAGTATTCCCATTTCTTACAGACATCTCCCTTACTACCTTCTGCCTTCACTATAGACATAAATCTCTAAGACG